TTCATCAAAGGCAACCAAGATGCAAACAAGTTAGCAAACAAAGGGTGAATTTATCAATTGAATTGACCATCTCTATTAATAAAATTCGTCAATTTCCTGATGCAGAGTCGAGCTGAACATATTGTATTAAATGATAATTATTGTAGTGTACTAATCTCGATAAGTTTGTTTAATAGTTTTGTGCCTTTTTAAATTATTTCGAATCAAGATATTGACATTTTTTTGAGATATTTGTAAACATTTTTCAAAATGTTCGGTCCGTGGGAAGATAATATTTTTCAAATTACAAATGGACCTAATGAAGAAATTATTCGCGATTCAAGCTAAGTGATACGCACTCTGGAAGAAATTTCTAAAAGGTCTCTATGTTTTCTCTTTCAGTGACTTGATCATGATGACGAGATAAATATACAGTAATACTTATTCGATTAGAAAACTAACTGAACGTAGCTTTTTCCATTCTTCTGAAAATATACAATCTTTAGGGCTAAAAAGAAGCAATTCTAAAAACATGCCAGTTTCTCCAATTCTTGGAAAAGTGGTCGAAAATAACTGGCAGAGACTTCAGTATTCTATTATGTATACAGTGAATTATAGAATAAACTAAGAAGGCACAACTCTTGTGGAAAAAGTGACTGGACTTAAAAATGTGTGCTCTTATGTATTTGGAGAGCACAAGGATATTTAAGTGCTCTCCCGATAAAAATATAAAAAATTTCATACTTTTCATGAAAGAGTATGGACTATTCGATGACATAGAAGTTTGTTTTAATAGGCTTATTGTACATGCACACAATTTAATTACAAACATGGACAATAACGCTGAGCAGTATAACTAGGTAGTTTGCAAATTTATAGGTGGAAAACGAATAAATTTCTCTCTGAGAGGCCCTTATTAATTAAGATGTGAAGCGGCTGCATTGTCTTTTAACGCGACTGGAAATTATTATAAATTAATCGGTGCAACAAATTTAAACTTTACAAATGAGTGCAGCGAAAGGATTTTAAAAAGAAAATCTTATCCTATTGCTAAAAAGAAATGGGTAAAAGCATTGGCGCTTCCCGACAGCGAATATGGTCCCGACGCAAATCTAGAACCGGACTCCTGCCTCAAGACAAATATGAGGAAAAGAAGTTACCATTAATTTCAAAACTCAATAAGGATAAAACTAAAATACTAAAAATTGAGGAGAACACCAAAGGTCAAGCAGAAAATCCACTGTGGTAATCAGAGAAAATGTGCCGACTTACTGCTTCTAATTTTGGCGAAATTTGCATAATGAGAAAAGGCACTTTGTGCGAAAACAAAATTTAAAATATACTGCATACCACATTCAGCGGGTATAAAAGTACGAAGTTGTTCAAGAACATGAGCTGTCAGCTATAAAACAGTTTGAGGATGAGTACATAGTAAAGGTAAGCCTTTTTTATTATTTCTTAATTGTGTAAAGTGTTAACAGTTTTCTAATTGCAGGTTAGAGAATGTGGCATTTTTATAGACCAAGAATACATTTTCTTGGGGTGTAATCCTAATGGCCTCATAGGAGATGACGGCATTATAGAGGTTAAGTGGCCAAAAGTAGCTAGCAAGGCTATATACTCGAGATGCAGTGGAACAAAAAATAATAAAATGTGCTACTTTGGATGAAAATAATGCAATGATGTTAAAAAGCAACCATAATTTTTATTATCAACTTCAAGACCAGTTGCATATTATTAGAAGGACCTTTTGCATTTTTTATAAATAAAAAGTTCACTGGTTCATTGGGTCGTTTTTATTGTTTTTTATAAAATTTAAGTATAGACATTACATATGTTTCGGAAACACTGTTCCATCTGCTGGTGCCAATCAATATTTAATAAAATATGGGGACGATTACAAACATTTTAAAATATCAGAAACCCCGTCTTTTTATTTTACAGCGTGTGAAGGTGTATTCGAAATAATAATTTGGTTTAACACGATAAAGTGAGGACAAAAAAAGATGAGTTATTACAAAATTTAAAATTATCAGTGGCGTTACACATGCTGTAAAACAAAAAGACGGGGTTTCTGTTATTTTAAAATGTTCGTAATTGCCCGCATATTTGATCAAATATTGACTGGCATCCGAAGATGGAACAGTGTTTCCGAAACATATGTAGTGCCGTACTTAAATTTTATAAAAAAAATAAGAATGACCGAATAAACCAGTGCTTTTTTTATTTAAATAAAATTCTACTACAGTCAGGAAATTATCCTTATTTTACTTTTTTGTTATTTGGAGTCCTATGGGAATGGTTACACAAAAAGTATAATTTATTTGTATCTCTTAAAGATATTGTTACGCAGGTTTTTGGTATCACAATTTATTTTATCTCAACTTTTACAATAACTCAATTCAACTTTAACAATAACGATATATATATTTATTTTTTAGAATATTACCAAATATTACCAACTATTACCAAATAACGCGATAGACGATTAGTGACTTTTTAAAGAGGAATTTTCCATGATTAAAGATGAGTTACTACTCGTTTAAAAATGTATGTTTAAGTGATTTTTTGAATGCGGGTGTAGATTTTAATTTTAATTCATTAGGTAAAGCGGTATATATTTTTGATATTTGGTATGTAAAGGAGCGTTTATATTTTTCTGTGCGGTGAGGGGGAGCTGTTATTCTGTGCCTATATCGAGTATTTAGGAAATGCGTATCAGAACCGTATTTAACTTTATTATATAAATAAACAGGTAAGCGGTTTTTAATGACTTTATGGAATAGACAAGCAGCGTGAAGTAACCTTCGTTTTTCCATATTTAGCCAATTCAAAGTTTTTAATTTATGGGATATAGGTTGTCGTCTTCTAATTCCACAAATTAGACGAATACATGAGTTCTGCATGACCTGAATTCTCCTTTTGTCATCTGACCCAATACAGGGACCATAAAGGACATCTCCATAGTTGAATTTTGATAGAACCAACGAGTCACATAGAATTTTTTTAACATTAAATGACAGGTAATGACGATTAATGTAGATTGTTTTTAAGTTAATGAAGGCATTACGAATACATATATTAATATGACTGCTAAATTTGAGCTGATTGTCCATGACTATACCAAGGTTTTTGGCGCTGTTTACGGGTTTTATTATATCACCCTCAAAATTTAATTTAATTGAGTCAGGACAAAATTTATTAGGGCCAAAGACAAGAACATTCGTTTTTTTCGAATTAATGCTAGGAGCATGTGTTTTTGCCCACATAGCTAAGTTTTTGAGATCTTGGTTGATAAGGTCAGTGGCATGTAAAATATTGTTTGGATGAAAAGAGCTATAAATTTGTGTATCGTCGGCATATAGGTGAGCCTTGCAAGATTTTAAGACTGTTCCAATATTTTTTGTATAGAGAGTAAATAGTATAGGTCCTAATATAGATCCCTGAGGAACTCCAGATCGTACCCTCATAGAATCAGAAATAATTTCATTAATTTTAACACGTCAGTACACTTTTAAAAGTCTATCGAAACTGTATACCTGGAATTAAAAAGAAACGTGATAATACAATGATAAGAGTTTACCCCCACTCTTCTCAGGGATAAATACAAAAAAATCGAGTGTACAAAAAAAAAACAGAATTGTAGGAAATTTAATTTTAAACAACTTTGTTTATAACAATTTTTCTCGTAAAATTAAAAATAAACGAGTTATTCTATAACCAAAAATTCACCCCCTCTTTTCGGGTATAAATCGAAAAAAATCGATCGTACAAAAAAAAAGCAGACTTGTAGGAAATTTAATTTTAAATAACTTTTGTAAAAACTATTTTCCGTGTAAAATTGAAAATAAATGAGTTATTCAAGATACAAAAATAACCCTTTAAATCAAGCTGGCGGAGGTAACGACAACTTTGGAATCCCAACTTTTTGAATTTAGACTACCACAGACCCCCTCCAACGAATTCCGAAGGAAAATTGCTGCTTCGAATTTTTCAGAATCTCAAGCCTGTTCTTCACCTAATCCGATTGGGCTATATGTATAGATACTCCTTAAACGGTGAAAAATTCTCGAAATAAATATGTATAAGTATGTACTAAATGGTATTAAAAGGCCCTAAACGAACTGATGTTTTAAAACGTGCATATTTTTCTTACTTATATCTTTTGCGAGCGTTGCGATAAGCCTTAAACCCGTCTAGGGGGATATTGCACTGTACCAATAATTTTCAGGCATAATTAAATATATACTTTTTACAGATTAAAAAAAGATAACCATTTTTGGGAAATGAAAATGCTTCCGAAACTGGAAAAAAATTTTGAAAAATGCTTTCTGCCAGAACGCGTTAACACAAGAAAGTTAAAAATAAGAAATATTGTATTCCTATATTGTATTTCTATATTCCTATATTGTATTTCTATTAAATTAAGTATACAGGTGATTTTTATTGTACCCACGTACCTTCAAAACGTGGAATAATATTAATACTCTTAATTTTTATTTATTATATATTAAAAACTTTCGTAGCGGTATTTTTTCGGTTAATCAGATGATTAATGGCTGGGAAAATTATTTTTTTGCTTCTCAAAAATGTTTATTCCGGATAAAACTTCGATTTTAGTTCACTTGTTTTATTTGCCAATAAAAGATATTTAAAAATATATTATTTTAATTGACATAAATTGTGAAAATACGAGCCGCCACCTGCAGCATGAGATATATTTGCTAATCCGTATCGAAAAACAAGAAATTAGTTGCAAACGTATTAGTATTACCTATACCCTAAACCCTAAACGGAAAAAAATAAATAATTGAAAGTAGGGTCAACAATTTAAGTCTTAAAGAGAAAAAGCTGTATTTTATTAATAAAGAACAAAACATTAGAATTTGTAAGCTAAAGAAAGCTCTTAGTAATTTCAAAAAATAAAACCAAGGGAGTCTTTGAATTAGCCAAAAATCAGTTGTTTTCTGATTGTCAAATAAAAACCCTATTGGAATTTTTTTCTTTACCATTGTATAAAAATGGTCCAAGATAATATAATTTCTTGTATCTACTTAAACAAATTGGGCCTAAATGTTTTAGTGTTTTCCAGATTTAAAGAAACTTCGTAAGTTTATAAATATCAATTTTTAGTCAAATTTATTAGATAAAACGGATTAGTTAATTTAAAATCAAAACATAATTTAAATCGACTATTTTTAATTGTTTTTATAGGAAACAATTGACATCTACATCAAAATTTGGTTCATTTTCCAAAAATAAGGGAAAACTACTATTAATTTCACTTATAATTGTTATTTAATATTAAGTACATGTTATCTATATAATAAATCTTTAATAAATTATTAAAATATTTTATCTTAATGTAAATTTTTTTTTTCAAAACATGTAAAATAAAAAAAATTTGAATGAACCGCGTTTACGCATGACATTCTTCTTTTTCTTATTCAGCCTCTAACTATCAAGTCAATCAGCCATTGTGTAGTTAAAAAAATAATCTCAAACTATAAAATTTTGTTTAACAATAATTTTCTTTACCTTTATGTAATTAATAAAATACAAAGTTTAAATATTATACAGACCATTTTACAATATTAACCACCATAGCCACTTGAATGGGTAAAATAATATTTATAATAAATAATTACAATGATCTTAAACCCTTACACAGATTTACAAGGGGATAGGTTTTCCTTGCGGTACCGACAAAATAGACTTTGCAGATACCGGGGGCGTTCCTTCGTAATCCTTTTGATCAGCTAAACACCCTAAGACGATAATCTCTCTCATTTTAAAATTGGGAAATTCGCCGAATAGTAAAACCGGACAAAAGTCAGTTAAAGTTAAATGAATTACATCTGTAGAAGAGGATAATAGAATTAGTTGGAATGTAACGATGGTATTAGAGGTATTACTTAAATGGCATTATTTTCGAAAACCGCAAAATGAAAGGAGCCACTAAATGTTTCACCTGAAAGGGCTTAGGGTAGAAATAATTGTTTGCAATTTCTCTTAAGCAAACTGGTTATGATAATTTTGAGACGAGTCGGGGAATTTATAATTTTGTTCAATAGTTGAAAGTACTGGCATATTCGGTTATCTTTTTTCTAGTTTACTAGGAAAACCACAAAATAACATGATATCCACATACGTATATAGGGCGATACATTAGTTTGAAAAAGTACAATATCTCCGCCACTGTTAGATAATAAAACTATTTTCAAACTGTCTAAACAAACTGTACTTAGATTTTAGTAAGTATTTAGATACCTACCTATCTATATAATAGGTTTAGGTATAATAATACATCAGGTTATAAGTAATTTACTTGATTGATGTAGGTACCTACCTATTATCTATAGATACATTTATTAGAATACCTAACCTATTGCACAGCAATAAAAGATTTTAATTGTATATTTTATTGATCACGGAAAAAAAATTATGTAGGGGGTCAAAATTTGTTTTCGATGCTGTATTTCAGGCGGTATCTAGGGTTTCTGAGAGCTATGGTCTATGTATGAAGACTAGAGTCTTCATAGGTCTATGGTTATTATTCATGTAATATTTTTAGTTCTGAGACCACGATAACTGTCATTCATCGTATCTGAGACTGTTGTCATTCATGTTGACGTTTAGTGAATGGACATTAACATATCTATCTAAATTTTCAGTCACATAACCATGTCTGAATCAGTTAATACGGCACAAACTGATATTTACGATGAAGAATTTTTCAATAATTTACAACTTGCAAAAAAACTGTTGGAGAAAATTTCAAATAGACGTGATAGACAAATTTGCAGAAAATGGATAACAAAACTATGTAATTTCAAATCAGAAGATGCTTTGGTTAAAAAAAATCGGAACATTTTCTTTAAGTATATGCTTAGAATGCTACATAAAGCAGCTGACAGAGAATCAGAAATTCCTAGAGAAGAGAAACCCGTTGGTGATGAATCACAGTTCGCAAGCAAATGGTCACCAGATAATCGGACTTACATTGCTACCAAACCTTTACCCGGTGAGGGAGTGTTGATTTATATGGCAGTATCAGCTGATCCTAAATTAGGATGGGATCATGCCTAATTATGTCCTGAGTTTGTTAATATTTAGAATGATTTAATATTAAAGTGCTGTTAAAATTTAAAATTTTAAATATATTACATGTTACAACCACAAAGCACATAGAGGTTCCACGTGAATGACCAAGGTCAAAACCGACAACTGACATTTTTTATGCTATTTGCTCCAAACTCTAGATGGGGCTACTGGTGAAATTATGATTTCTTACTCCATTTTTAAGCCTTATGGGAGAAAAACTTAACCAAAGACTCCAAAGATGTGACGTGTATTTATTTATGTTCTTGGTTAGTTTCATTTTTCCGTCTGATTTTAGTGATTTTTGTTGGCTTTGGCTTTTGGTTTCTGTTTATAGTTTCGTCTTAGTTATTTGCAAAATTGTGATGTTTCGCTTTTTTATTTCCTACTGTGTTTTGCAATAATTTTGGTGCTACGTTGAAAACTTAGAGAAAAACTTCATTAATTCACCATGCATCTGCATCATAAAAAGACAAACGGGGACAACAACTAATTGATAATCAATTTATCACTGGACTAGATTCCGAAATCATTTTTCACATAAGAGAGTAATACCACCATCTGTATTTGGAAGGAAAATACCTATTTATCATTGAATGAAGGATTCACCTTTTAATACAATACCTATATTACATTTGTCCTCAGTTAAAAAGACATTTATAAAATATATAACTTTACTGTTAATAAAATGTAATATCCTAGTCTCTACTTCACATTTAAATTATTGATAGGTACCTATTTTAAAGATTTGAGATTATATATCTATTTGCTCCAAGTAAGTATTCGTTAAATATGTATTATTATTTGTATTTATTTTTATCTAATAATATTTATTTAAGATATTAATAAACATATTTTAAGAATGTTCTATTTTATTATTTATTGATATATCTTATATTTATTTAATAATAATATGCAGAACCAACTCTCCACATTAGACCCCTTATAACAAATTAATTCTTCAAATTTGGTATAATCGACCTAAATTATTTTGTAAAATAAAAGTTTCGAACTTACTAGTTCCATACTTTATTTTATAAAATAATTTATGTGGAAATCATTTAAAATTTAATTTAAAACTACTACCTACTCCTAAAAATTACAATTTGAATTTACCGCCATCTGTCAATTGTCATTTTAGTTCCAGCTCCAAACACAAGGTGGCGCTAATTTGGTTTAAAAGTTTAACATTGGCGTGGGGTCTCTAGAAGATACATGCTTTGTGGTTACAACCATCGAACATCAATGTAAACCGAACGTACTCGGACTAAAGTAACGCACCTAAAGAAAGGACGACTGTTGACACTTGACATTTCCCAACAGTTAAAAGCAGAGGCGGAAAACTCCCATCTGCAAGACTGGGGTGCATTTAAATCATCCACGTCCACTTCATCTGTGGCGCTGCAGTCGTGTGGTGGGGTGAGTGGTGGGAGTGTAATGACAGATGACAGGTGAATATTGATTTTTGTGTTGTGGGGGCAAGGTGTTATGGCGAAAACTGGCTAACAATTGTGAATTTATTAATATTGTTAAATTTGGTTGCATTCATTTGTGATTTATTTAATGGATTTAGTTATTGTAAATTTGTGTTATTTCCTTGGAAGTGTACCGGATGGACAGCCTTTAAATTACTTTACTTTGTCTTCAAAATAATCTAATAGAAATATCCAGTAAAAGAAATGCCTTTAACTTCAAATGTTTTAGACATCGAAGACAGAAGAAGTAATTAGTTACTTCTTCTGGATTAAACTAAACGTTTGAAGACAAAATATGCTATTATTAATAAGTTATAAAATGTTATGTATTAATGCAAACCGTTTCTTAAACTGTAATCCACGGGACCCCATTACTGAAGGGTTCCGTGAAACGTATGTGTTCAAGAAGGTAACTAAAAAAAAAAAAAAAAATAAAAAAAATAAAAATTAGATTCTTCCTAAAATAAGAAGAAAAAAAAATACTAATCCGGATATAAGTACGAGGATGTATCAGAAAATAACGAGACTGGTGCTATAGTATAACAACGAAACATTTATTTAAAAAAATTCAACAACTATCCTTCGAAGTACTCTCCATTCTGTTGAATACACTTATTCCATCGCTTTATCCACTTATCATAAACTTCTGAGAAACCATTTTTTGATAGTCTGTTTAGTATACCCATCACAGCGTTGTTGAGCTCTAAATCCGACTCAAATCTTCTACCTCTCAATTCTTTTTTGACTTCAGTAAACAAATGGAAGTCACATGGAGCAAGGTCAGGAGAGTAGGGGGGATGAACCATAATTTCAACCCCTAATTCTTCAATTGTTCGTTGACAAATCATTGATCTATGAGCCGGAGCATTGTCGTGATGCAGCGTCCAGCCAAAGTCCTGATAAAGCGGCCTTTTTTTCTTTAATTTTGCCTTTAAGGGTCCTCGAAGTACATTAGAATAGTACTCCCCTGTTACTGTATGTCCTCTAGGTACAATGTGATCGTAAATAACGCCAAATTTATCAAAAAAAATCAGGTGCATCACTTTACCAACGCTTTTAGCAGTTTTGGCCTTCTGCGGTCTTGGGCTGCCTTTATGCTTCCATTGCATACTTTGAGACTTCAATTCAGGATCGTAATGATAAATCCAACTTTCGTCACATTATTTAAAAACTATGGGTTACGTTGCAATTGCCTTTTCCACTGCTGACAAATTGTTACTCGATTCGCTTTTTGTTCATCGGTCATCACTTTTGGAATCCATCTTGCCGCGATCTTTCGGTACTCTAAATCTTCATGAATAATTTTTTGAGTGGTACCGTAAGACAAATTAACATTGTCAGAAATTCGTTTTATGCCAATCCGGCGATCATTTTGTATAAAGTCGTTAATTTCTGCAATTTTTGTGTCATTTCTCGCAGTTTGTGGTCGACCGGGACGAAGTTCATCTTCAACTGATTCACAACCGTCTTTAAACTTTTTATGCCACTCAAACACTCTACATCGTGATAAACTATTATCTAGATATGCACCTTTAATCATTTCAAAAGTTTCAGTTGGTGTTTTACCCAATCGAACACAAAATTTTATCGCGTATCTTTGCTCCACTTTCATTTTTCGATGGGTACGCAAAACACTGACAATTCAATAATTAATTTGTAACAAATGTCAAAAGTTAAATCAAAGTCTACTTGCGGGGTAGTACATTAAATATAATGCTTTCATGTCTCTGAAAGAAGTTATAGCACCAGTCTCGTTATATACTGATATATCCTCGTATTTGAAATAATTATCATTTTTGTTGCAAATAGGTAATTTAGTTATAGAATGTTGCATTAAAATCATACTATTGAAACAAACTAGGGGATACTAAAGAATGTTCCATTATTTATCAAACAGATTGAGACATGTTTGTTATTTTTAATACCTACCTGAGTACTGCTTATTATGTATCAATGTCCCTTTGGTCCTAATTTATTATGTATGTTTGAGTTATTATTGACTTATTGGACAGCTTTTTTGAAATCGTTTGTTAAAACGTACAAGCGCAAATTAAAGTCACTTCTACCTTTAACAATCAATGAAATTTTACATTTGACAGATGTTTTGTGATTTGTTATGTTAGTTTTGCATTTACTTTTGTCGAATAAGCCAAATGGGAACTAAAGTAAGGGTTCTGTGGCAGTGTTATTTGTGAAAGTTGAAGTAAAATATGTGTCTGTAACATATTTTACCGTAAAATAATTTCAATACCAAACTCAAAATGTTTGAAATAATAACTGATCCTAGGTTAATTTAAAGTACAAACCCTATGAAGATATTTAAAATTTCAACACTGCCCGTTGTTCGTTCACCCTGATCCCAACTTTTTACACAAATCATAGAAACGTATGATTCCTAATCGAATGAAACTGATGACAGTGAACACTGCCATTGTTCCTGATTAATGTTAAATTTTTATACTTATGCTGTGTTTTCTGTTTTATAATGTTAGAGGCACAATCAGGGCCGACTAGAGGGGGGGGGGTAGCCGGGACTAATTCCCGGGGCCCGCACTCAAATGGGGGCCCGGCAGCGGTATAAGGGGGGCCCGGGATATTTGTTGGTTTGTATGAGAAGTTCGTCACAAGACTAGAGAGGAAAAGTTTTTGTTGTTTGAGGACTTTTTTTTAGAAAATTAATGAAGTAGAGGAGGAAAAGTTTTTGCTTGAAGACCATTTTTTTTTTTTAAATTTTAATTCAAGTAGAAAAGGAAAAGTGTTTGTTTGGAGACCTTTTCTTTTGTCACGGGGCCCGATCTAGCGAATTGTCCTGGGGCCCGGCCTGGTTCTCGGCGGCCCTGGGCACAATACTGTATTCTGGATTATGTAGCAGCAAACTATTTCATACATAATACATTTTATAATATTGAATTTGTATATATATTTATAATAAATTAATTTTTTGATTATGCTTGTCTTTTTATCTAAAAACTTTGGCAAACAGTTTTTAATGCGAGTAATTTTTCCTAGTGTTCGTCGACGTGTTGAGTGAGTATTTTATGTTTTTATGTTTCTAAAAATATTTTTTATTATTATTATTATTACCTATTATTATTATTATTATTATTATTATTATTATTATTATATTTTTCTTCTATATCACACCTTCTGTTTGTTTTTTAAAAATATGTGTTTTAGTTTTTGTCTGTTTTGTTGGGTTATTTTATTTATTAGGAACTTCTGTTAATTTTTTTTTTAATTTGTGTCATCGGCATCGACTGCTAAGGTCATTAGCCTCGTGTTTTGTGTAGGCTTTGTTACTGTTTCTCAGCGCCACTTTAGGAACAGCACTGTTAATTAGAACCCAACAGTGAATGGTCGAGTGGGGAATCCTACCAAGGCATCAGAATTAATTTTAAATAATTAAATTAAATAAAAAATAGGTATACTGTGCCACAGAGACGCGATCAGCTAGGGAGCAATGATGTGCCAAAGAAATAGAGATTAACACATATGAAAATAAAAATATTAAAATTAAAATTATAT